CTTTTTCTTTATAAATAAGACTGGAGCTCCCTATGGTGACGAACTCGGTCTAACGAATCCTTTCTCAAGAAGATCTTTCTATTGAGACATCAACTCTCGCATCTCGGAAGGAGCTAATCGATAAGGGGCTCTAGCAAGCGGAGCGGTTCCCGGAATAAGGTCGATTCAAAACTCCACTTGTCTAACGGGTGGTAAACCGGGTAAGTCTTAAGGAAATACGTCAAGAAACTCGTTGACCACTTTCACATCCTCAATTCTCTTTTTTTTTTCTAGCTTGGCATCCAACACATACGCGATGAATAAGGGACACCCCTTAGTTAAGCATTTGCGCGCCTTTGCCACAGATAGGACAACTACATCTCCCTTCTTTCTTTCTCCATAAATTAGCATTGCGTCCCGTCCGGTAAAGGAATTTGAATCAATTTCTTAGAACATAAGATTTCCGCTTGGTTCTTTACTAACCAGTCCATTCCAATTATGATGTCAATCCCGCCGATAGCCATGGGTATAAGGTATACCCGAAATTCTTTTCCCTCGATTCCCAACACGCAACTCCTAACAACTTCACGCACCAGAACTCTACTACCATTTCCTAACTCAATGATCAAGGCATTTTCTAGAGTATTAGGGGGAGTATGCAAGGGTGGGTAAAATGTAGTGGACACAAAAGAACATGAAGCACCCGAATCGAAAGTACGTGAGCAGGTACGGAGTCAACGAGGAACGTACCCGAAACCACATCCGACGATGCTCTGGCTTCCTCCGCTGTCATCTGAAAGGCTCAGTCGGTCGTTTTTGGGGTATTTTCTTTCCTTTCCTGGCCCCCTCCCGCCTTCATCTTCGGACAATCATTCCTGAAATGACCTGGCTCTCCGCATCCAAAGCAGATGGGTCGTTTGATAGGGCACTCATTTCACGTGTGGCCTGGCTTCCCACATTTAAAACATTTTACGGGAGTAGGGTTGGTGATGCACGGGCCATGGGATCATCTGACCCCACAAACTCTGGTGGTTTACAACTCAAGAATGTCTTGTAGGAGCAAACTCTTCCCATACGTCTTGCATCGATTGTTGCTAGCTCTTGAGTTGGAATTCCATTTTCGGTACCCCCGGATCCCACGATGGTTACATTCTCGGCTACCGCTTCATGCTTACGATTGCTGGCATCTCTATCCTCTAACAACTTCATAAAGAATTCTTGTTACTGGGCCATTGCTCTGGTCATGGCGTTCATCATTGTGCCCAACATTCTTGACTCCGGGGTTTCCTCTTCTATTGCGGGGTTAGAGGTGGTAAGGTTAACTTGGGAAACGTGTTCAATTCTGCCGCCCAAAGTGTTTTGTCTAGGAAGTACCCTTGCTATTGCGGTACGTGGCGGTTGATCCGTGGTAGATTCAGTCACCGTGCGACCTTCCGGTGAAGTATCCTGTCTACTCCGTGTGTTCACCATTAAGAATGCTAAGCAAGAGAGTGAAAGGGTGTTAAGATCGGAAGAATACGAAATTAACATAATACGGTACCGACACAATCATAAATTCTTATAATAACAGCGAGTTCAAGCACACGAATGTAACAACTTACTCAAAATGACATTAGCTAACTGAAATTTTGAATAGGTTATACATAAGGATCCTCAACACCATCACGACAATTCATTATTCATGCAACTCCGTTGACTCTAAAGTTCTCCTATCTTAAAAATTCTACCCGCATCGCACAAATAAACACTTACAATATTAGCTTAAGTCTAGGCATCTTAATTCCATACCTAGTTCGCTTAAACTAGGGCTCTGATACCAACTTGTAACACCGTAAAAAAAAGAAAAAAGAAAGTACAACGAGGGAGGAGATAATCTTATCCAGTAAATCAAACAAACAAAAATTTCCAATGGTTAAATGAGTAGATCATCCAACAAAAGGGAGAGGTAAAGCGTTTACAAAAACAAGAAATGAGACAATAAATAACAACCTAATAATCTAAACAATTCGAAGATGAAGGTGTACAAAGGAAAGTAAGTCTTAAGTAATACGTGGGAGAGTCAAAACATCCAAAAATGACGGGAGAGACCCGATTTACCGTTGATTGTGACGGAACACAAAGTAAGTCATAGATCAACGTTACAGAGCATCACTTACAGGTTTAACACCATTGACATCAACCTAACCAATCATGTAGTCGGTCGTGATCTTAAACTCTTTACCTCGGAAATTACATAATGATCTCAATGCCTATTTCCGAGTGGGAATGTGAAGATGGA